GACACACTCTGTGATTAACTATGTGCGGTTTATTTTTTAGTAAGTTCAGTGTTAAGGTAGAACACCAAAAACATTCAGGACTGATGCAACTGTTAGATGTGCCTATGTGGAAATAGGATAGCATCTCTATGGATTTTGTGGTTGGGTTACCTAAGACTGTGAAGAACTTGGATGCTATATGGGTCATTGTGGATAGATTGACTAAGTCTGCCCATTTTATTCCCATTAATATTAGGTATCCTTTGGAGAGGTTAACCAAGTTGTACATCAGTGAGATCGTGAGATTGCATGGAGTTCCTAATAGTATAGTGTCTGATAGAGATCCTAGGTTCACCTCTAGATTTTGGGAGAGTTTGCATAAGGCTTTAGGCACTAAGCTTAGATTGAGTTCAGCTTACCATCCCCAAACAGATGGCCAAACTGAGAGAACCATACAATCTTTGGAAGACTTGTTGAGGGCTTGCATCTTAGAACGTGGGGGTAGTTGGGATAGTTTCCTACCTTTGATAGAATTTACCTACAATAATAGCTACCATTCTAGTATTGGGATGGCACCATATGAGGCTCTGTATGGTAGGAGATGTAGAACACCTTTATGTTGGGTAGAACCTGGAGAGAATGTCATGTTAGGACCTGAGATAGTTCAACAAACTACTGAACAGGTTAAGATGATCCAAGAGAAGATGAGAGCAACTCAGAGTAGGCAAAAGAGTTATAATGACAAGAGGAGAAAAGACCTTGAGTTTAAAGAAGGTGATCATGTATTCCTTAAAGTTACTCCTTGGACAGGAGTAGGCAGAGCACTGAAATCCCGTAAGCTTACTCCACGTTTCATCGGTCCTTATCAAATTCTTAAAAGGATCGGTGAAGTAGCCTATCAAATTGCTTTGCCTCCATCTCTTTCAAATCTCCATAGTGTTTTTCATGTTTCTCAACTCAGAAAGTATGTTTATGATCCTTCCCATATCATTGAGTCTGACAACATTCAGTTGAAGGATAATCTTACCTATGAAACGATTCCTTTAAGGATTGATGACAAGAGGGTGAAACAACTAAGTGGAAAGGAAATCCCTTTGGTTAAGGTCGTTAGGGGAGGAAATATTGAAGAAAGTGCTACATGGGAATTAGAAAGCAAGATGCGAGAAGCTTATCCATTTCTGTTTTCAGGTAAATTTCGGGGACGAAATTTCTTAAAGGAGGGGAGAATTATAACACCCAATATTTTTTTATTATTTTATGGCATTTTCGTAATTTTGTTAAAGTTTTTGGGTATTTTTGGGTACCGGAACGGGCCGTTCCAAGTAAAGAAATTAGGAAAACTTGGTTGTCCCAGAACGAGCCTGGAACGGACCGTTCTGGAAGGGAGAACGGGCCGTTCTGAAAGCAGAATGGGCCGTTCTGCTAGGTTTTGGAACGGGTCGTTCTGCTTTTTGGGAACGGGCCGTTCTAGTTGAAAAATTTGCACGCATTTGAAGGTTCCAGAACGGGCTTTTCCGAAAGCAGTATGGGCCGTTCCGGTTGCGCCAGTATGCCTATAAATAGGGCACAGGGGGTGAAAAATTTTATATTCAGTAAGAAAGTGAAATCTTAGAGAGAGAAAGAGGAGAGAGAGGGAGAAAGAGAGAGAGAGAGAGAGAAAGAGAGGGAAAGAAAAAGGGAATCCAGAGGAGGAGACTCTGCCCAAGTTTCAACTCCGCTTATCCAGGTAAGGGGGGAGTGAGAACCTCGCTTAGGGATGTGGGGATAATTGTTGGATAGTTGTTTGTCAGATTGGCCCCCAATCCTTTGCCTTTGCATGTTCTGTCTTATTTGCTTTAGTTTATTTCTTGTTGGAAATAATAAATGATTATGTAATCCCAATCCCTTGCCGTTGTTCTGTTTGGTTTTCTATTTTACTTTACTTTGTTCTTTGTTGAAGGTGCTGTTGTTCTGTCCGATTTTCTATTTATTCTACTTTGTTCTTTGTTGAAAGTAATAAATGAATATGAAATTAATGTTAATAATAAACGGGTTTTAATATGAAAAAGAATGCTCTCTGGATCTCTGTGAATTCCTATGTGGACCTTATGAGGAGTATTTATGACATGACCATGTGAAATATGGACAAATGACATGAGACCTAAGCATGGACTATTGAGACAAATATGATTATGAGACTATGATAAATGAGGACATGATGTACTAAATGAAATTATGTAACAAGTTAAGTGTTGAGTCAATGAGATTAATGAATGTATGACATGCATCATATGCATATATTACTCCAGGTGTGCCGCTTAGGCCGCATACCAACGATGCTAACCAGGTGTACTTTCGAGTCACCCACGATGTAACATGTTAGGTGTACCTTCAGGTCACCCACGATGTAACATGCTAGGTGTACCTTATGGTCACCCACGACGTAACATGCTAACAAGGTGTACCTTAGGGTCACCAGTGATGTAACTAGGTGTACCTTAGGGTCACCAGTGATGATATGTGAAACTTCCTTATAGCGCCACATGCATGCATTTATGAGTCGAGTTCATGACATCACAAGCATGATAAATGAGTATATATGTGATATTGATTATTATGTGTATTATTTACATGTGATTTATATGTTGTGTGTGTGTGTGCTATCTAGCCTTTATTTCTGCACCTGAAACTGAGTGAGATGTTTCTCACTCCCTTGTTGCTTTTGTATGTGTTTAAATTATGTTGCAGGCGATCAACATCATGAGGATGTGGTTGATGAGGCTTAAGGCTTCAATTGGGCATGCTCTGATAGGATATGACATGGGCTTAGCTAGGTTTATTTTGGGGATGTTATTGTGTTAAAAGCTTTAATTTTCTCTCCTTTTGTAATTTTAAACGTTCTTGATAAAAAACCAAAATGTACATCTTTGTTATATTACATGATTTGGAAGTATAAATTAAACCCTAACCAGGAGGCACTGCCACCTTTACTGGAGTTAATTTATATTTCCTGTATTATTATATATATGTGATTTATTGTTTTTACTAAATTGTATTGAAAATTCTTTTGTAATTTGTACCTTGGAGTTATGATTTATGAGTTACGAATGTGAATCTTCTACCTTATGATGAATTTGTACCTTGGAGTTATGATTTATGAGTTACGAACGTGAATCTTCTACCTTATGATATTTGAAACAATTGTTTATACATGAAAGATGGTACCAAACTATGAAAGATTTTATTTACCCAAAAAGAAGAAAAGAAAAATTTTATTGTTATATTTGTTGTATATTAATATTGGGGTAGAGAGTGTCACAGGAAGCCAGGGTGTTAAATGAGTCGATTGAGTTTGGTGGGAGCCAAGTAAATCGGCTCAGTGCTTATCCTTTAAGGGAAGTAGCAAAGATACGACATAACTCTGTGTCATTTATTGTGCTTAAGGTAACCTAGGTGAGGAAGACATCTATATGCTCATCAGGGTCTAAAGTTCCATCATATCGGTTCAATAGGAGGGATTTCCAATGGTGCTTGCATGATAGAAAAGACAAAAAGATGTCGATGGGGCCTACCAGGATATTTTGGTTGTGTCGATTGAGGGTTGGCATTGTCGGCGTGGTTTGCCCTAATGTTGCCAAAGAGAGACTAGGTGAGGGATCATGGTATCCTTGGGACAAGTTAGATGATACCTCTAGTTGAGCCTAAGTTGAATGTGATGGCCTCCAAGAAGGCTCTTGACTTCTTAGTTGTGCATTCTCTTGTCTTAATTAATGTTGACATTTCTCTTGTATTCTTCTCATGCTGTTGACACGTTACCTCCATCCTCTCTCAATTATCGAACGACCTTAGAGACGTCCATTTCATCCACCACTTCCCCGTGGTCTTCCTCAAAGTGTGGGTCTTCAATAATGGTATTCTTGCAAGTGGTAACCATGTTAATAGTTTGTTGCTTGGAGCCTTCAATTTCGGACCCTACGATAAATGTCAAAATGTACCTATTTAAGGGCATACTAGTAAATCTCTATGTCAATCTTCGAACTCCTAATTAGTCAAAATCTTCAAAATGATAAAGGGAGGTACTTGAAAAAAATATTTTAACATTAAGTTAATATAGACTTTAATATCTAAATAATAATAATAAATATATAATAATTTTATCTTATTTTTTGTGACTATTTATAATGATCATAATAAATTCGGATTTAATGGACCTTGTTCCCTCATCATTAACAAATGGGTAATATGGCTACTGATGATTGATTATTCCTTAATCTTGTTTGCTATTAGTTATGTGACTCCTATAGTGTGTTTGGAAGCTTAAAAGCATCGAGTATCTTTGCCTGTTTGATAGTTGAGAGTAACGAGTTAACAAAAGAAGGACGTGCTCGGTCTCTCGGGAGAGAAGAAGGCCGAGGCAGTGCGAAGATGAAACTAACATGGGTGACCAACGACGTTTCTAAACCAATATAAGCGTATCGGGTGTCTCGGCGATCGGAGTGACCAAGAGAGAGGGTGACAATCTGGTATATGCTTGTCTAGTGTTGGAGTCTCGCCTCGGTAGCCAAAATGCCCAAACAGGGGGTTCACCCGTGGTCTTCAACTTCCTCTCGGTACAAAAATTAAACCAAAAAAATTGAAAGACTGGTGGAATATGGCTATATTTGCATTTCCATTTGGGGTGCTCCAAACTGTTTAGGAGAGTAAGGCAGTTTCGTTTTACTCATGACTCATATTTTACTTAAATACTTGACTAAGATTCCTTTTACAAATTTTAAAAGAAAAATAAAATACTCCGTTTACAATTTTTAATCCAAAATTGCACTATCTTATTATCTGCTGCAGTTGCGGTGTGACTTTCGCGGAGAAGACCCAATAATTTCGTCCTTTTGCGAGTGAATTAGTGAAGGGAATTAAATAAAAATATATATATATAAAATGTGACGAACAAAGACGGAAACTTACTCACGTCGACGAGGACGAAAGAAAACAAGAGCAAAAGTTGGATGATGACGCATTTTTTTTATTATTTAACAAAAGCATAAGCAAACTTAACAATTTATTTTATTTTAATTTAATTGAACAAAAAAATTGACTTTGTAAAGAAACAGTCTCGTTAAATACAGAATATCTACCCTCATTCAGTTTCACATACACTTTTGCAATCTCTATCCATAGCAGTTATTGCGTTTCATTATGGCACAAGAAGGATCATCCTCTTCTTCAATATCCAAATACACTTACGATGTGTTTCTTAGTTTTCGAGGTGAAGATACTCGTTATGGTTTCACTGGTAATCTGTACAGTGCTTTGAGTCAAAGGGGAATCTTTACCTTCATAGACGATGAGGCTCTACCAAAAGGCCAAGAAATCACACCTTCTCTCCGCAAAGCAATACAAGAATCGAGGATGTCCATCGTTATTTTTTCCAAAAACTATGCCACCTCAACTTTTTGTTTGAATGAGCTTGTCCAGATCCTTGAGTGTTACACGAAACAAAACATGTGGATTTTGCCAGTGTTTTATGATGTTGATCCATCACACGTGCGACATCAAAAAGGGAGTTACGAAGATGCGTTTGCACAGCACGAACGTGGAAGATTCAAAGATGATATTCAGTTGCTGCAAAAATGGAAGTTGGCTTTGAGTCAAGCTGCTGATTTGTCTGGTTTGCACTTCAAAATTGGGTAACACTAACACACTGTTTCTAGTTTTATTTATTACTCTTATTTTAGCATGACAGAATAAATACTTATTTTTATATATTTAAAATTTATAGTTTATAAAAAAAATTAAATATATATCACTATAAACAGTAAAATACATGAATATATATTCCTTAAAATTTTGTAGGATTGCATAAATATTTTCTACTTTTTTATCTCTACAATAGTTACCTTTTTAATTGTTTTAAACTATTCAAATGACATTTCTTACATATTACATTAAATCTCTTTAATTATTTTAAAAATATATTATTATTGACCTCGTAAGAGATTAATTTAAATATTAAAAAATAGAAAATATAATTATATTCCTTATGTTGTAAAAGTGTTTTATATTAGGGTTTCGATAATAGATTTCTGTATAATTTATTATAATAAAATATGTCAAAATTAAAGTTATTACATTTACATATATCTATGAAAAATAATGTCATTAAATTTTTTGCAATAATTATTTGCATAAATTAAGAAAAATAAATTTGAAATAATTAGGTACTATTTTACAAAAAAGAAAAGATAGTAATTATTATTTACTATTTGTTATTGAAAAATTGTAAATAATTGATGCAAAAATGGTAATAATCTAACAATAGATTAACTCAAATTGATTAATTAAAAATAAAATCTAAAGCGACTAATTAATAATATAAACTACATTAAAATCATTGTAATCTGTATTTAATATATATAAAATGATTATTTCTCTTGTTAACCAATTTGATCTCTACCTTTTGTTAGACAATTATTTCTCTTAATTATTAAAAAAAATACTAAAAAATCAAGATTTTTTTAGTCATTCATATGTTACAACCTCCACACTTTCTAATAACTATCCACAACCTCCCACTCAATTATCTCTTATTATTATTATTTTTTAATTTAAATAATTAAGAAGCGTAAACTATATCTTTTCCCTCTTTATTATAAAATCAAATTAATTTATTTGTAATTCATGCAAGTAACCGTCGAAAGAGTTAAAATAAATCTGGCCCATTAGTATTTTTTTTTTCATAATTTATAATAATTTAATATATATTGTAATTTTAAATAAAATTAACAGTTTTTTGATATTTTTTATTTAATAAATAAAATAATTTATTAAATAGTTTTTAGTTTTATTTTACTATGTCCTTACTCTTTCCTATTTTTGTAATCTAATCATTGGACATAAATTAACAGTTTGTAATGAACTTATTTAAAAAAAAATAAAAAATAATTAGAGATCGACGAAAAATGTATTAAACCTTTAAATTAATTATTACAGTTATTTTTGGCACGAGAGAATAAATATTTATTTTATATAATTAAAATTTATTAAAATATAAAACATGTTTTCAAAATAAAAGTATAAATATATATTAATTTAAAAAAAATTAATTAGATTACACTTATATTGTACAAGTATTTTTACACTGTCTTTTCTTTGAACAATATATTGTTTTTTATGTATAGTATGATTGTTGAACTTTTAAGAACTATTTAAAAATATTTTTAATAGATGGTATAAATGTCTATTTTATATAACTGAAATTTATAATGAATAAATACTTTTAGTGTAAAAATATATTATAATTAAAAATTATAATAAATAAATATTTTTAACATATAATTTATATTTTTAATTTATAATAAATAATTTATATTGTAGTATAATATTAATTTTAATTAATGATAACATCTTTTAAAAATTGAATTTTACATTAAAAATAAAAAGGATAAATCGAAAATTATTTTAAAAAATTATATTATTTATAAATCTAATACACGTGGGATATATATATATATGAGTTATTTTAGCAGTGGATAATATCGAATGTATGTTTCTTTCGCAAATTTCATTAGTTATAAATTATCAACATATATATAACAATAATCCTTGAGCAAATAATTTTTTTGTACGCGACAATAATCCCTTTCATGTGCCAAAAAATATATAACACTAAATTAGTTGTTACTTGTGGGGTGGAAACTAGGCATAAATTGGCTGCACTAATTTAATTTCACTTTATTAATGGCAGTGATGAATATGAGTCTGAATTAATTAAAAAGATCACAGAAGAGATCTCTAGTAAGCTTAATCGACCTGCCTTACATATTGCTGATTATCCTGTTGGATTGAGTGCTCGGATGCGACAAATAAGAAAGCTTATAGGTGCTGAGTTTGATAACAAAGTGACCATGATTGGGATTCATGGAATGGGAGGGATAGGAAAATCAACTCTTGCACGTGCCATGTATAATTTGATGGCACATCAATTTGAAGCTTCTTACTTTCTTGCGAATGTTAGAGAAAAATCAGTTCAGGATGGCCTAGTGCATATCCAACAGAATATGCTTTCTGAGTTAGTCAGTGAAAGAAATATCAAGCTGGGAGATGTGTATCAAGGAATTCCAATACTACAACAAAGACTTTGTCGTAAAAAGGTCCTTCTTGTTCTTGATGATATTAACAAAAAAGAACAATTGCAAGCAACTGCTGGAGGCCTTGATTGGTTTGGTTTAGGCAGCATCATCATTATAACAACAAGGGATAAGCATTTGTTAGATATTCATGGAATTGAAAAACAATATGAGGTTAATGAATTTAATGATGTTGAAGCTCTTGAATTATTTAGGTGGAATGCTTTCAAAAACCAAAAAGTTGATTCAGATTATGAGGAAATTATAAAGCGTGCAATACATTATGCCGATGGTCTTCCACTAGCTTTGGAAACAATAGGCTCAAATTGTTTCGGTAAAACATTAGATGAATGGAAATCTGCATTAGAAGCATATGAGGGAATTACAGACAGGAATGTTCAGGAAATTCTTAGGATTAGTTATGATAGTTTGGATGCTAATGAAAAGGAAATATTTCTTGACATAGCTTGCTTCTTCAAAGGATGCACTCTAAGATATGTTACATATATGCTTGAGGCAAGAGGTTTTCATCCAAAATATGGTATCAGAGTGCTGGAAGAAAAATCTCTCATTAAAATTTGTAGATGTCATGAACATGTGATAATGCATGATTTGATTCAATCTATGGGAAGGGAAATAGTTAAACAACAATCAAATTTGCCTAAAAAACGGAATAGGTTATGGTTTTATGAGGACATTGTTCGCGTTTTGGAGAAAAACACAGTAAGTCATATACCTAGCTGTGTCTTTCCATTCTTTCATTAGATAATGAGTTTAATCATTGCTAGCTATATTTGATTATTCGTGACCCTTGTATGTTCTAAATTTCGTTCTTGCTTTGTGCTTTCAACTTAAAAGGAAAATGATGAAATTGAAGCCATTATGTTGGATGTGCCACAAGACCAGGAAGTGCAGTGGAATCAAAAGGTGTTTGGAAAATTGAAAAACCTACAGATGATATTGATCAAAAAGAATAATGGCTTTCTTAGAAGCTTTAAAGATCTCCCTAACAACTTGAGAGTGCTCGAATGGTGTAGATATCCTGCAGCCACTTTACCATCTAATTTTCATTTGAAGAATCTTGTCGTACTCAACTTGTCATATAGTAAATTTGGATGGGAGAAACCATTTGAGGCATGTACAATTAATTATAAGTGACGTTGCACTGATTTAAGTTTTGGTTAAGCACACTACACTAGACTCTTCAAACTATTTATGTAGATTTGTTATTTTGCAGAATTCAAACATATTGAGACACTTGGTTCTTAGAGGTTGTGAGAACATAAGACGAATTCCAAACATGTCTGGCTTCCCCAATTTGATAGAATTGGTAGTTGGTGAATGCACAAATTTGATTGAGATTCATGATTCGGTTGGATTGTTACATAATCTTCAAAGGTTTTGTGCCGAAGGATGTACCAAGCTAATGTTTGGTCCTCGTGGAATAAAGTTGACCGCTTTAGAACAGCTTTGCCTTCGTGACTGCAGCAGTCTTGTCATGTTTCCAGAAATATTGGCACCAATGCACAAGCTAAAATATGTTGACTTAGAAGGAACTTCCATAAATAATTTACCACTTTCAATGCAAAATCTTAAAGGCCTTCAAAATTTATCCCTAGGGACATGCAAAATGCTTGATAGGTTTGATGCATTCAAATTCTTTCAAATGCTGCCAGTGTTGTTTCCCAATTTGACAAAGCTATATTTAAAATACTCAAATTTGACGATCCTTCCTACGTGCATTGAAGAATGTCAATCCTTGAAGATTCTACATGTGTCTAACTGCAAGAAGCTTCAAGAAATTAGAGGACTTCCATCGAGCGTAACTGAGTTCTTCGCGGCAAATACTTTAGTGGAAGTCGAGTCTTTCAACAATTTACTCAGACGGGTCAGACTCTCCTTTAATTCTCTCTATAATAATTTACGTTGTTTTCCAAACTTACCATGACATGTTTAACAGGCAATTGATACTACTTCAATAAGAATCTCTGTTCAGCCAGGTCAACGGATCCCAAAATGGTTTGACCACTCTACCGGGGGAAACTCTCTACGTTTCTGGTTTCGAAATGAATTGCCCTCTCTTGCGGTCTGTGTTGTTATTGGAGTTTGGGATAATGTCAAACCTCCTTTCTTTGCGAACTTCAATTTCTTTGTTAAAATCAAGGGTATTTATACATGTGTTTCTTGTTTTCGTTGTGGTAATATAATTTGGATATCTGAAGATAGTCATATAATTATACTCAACCGTCAAAATGATTTTCAACATCCAATGCAACCCCATGTTAAAAGAGCGCTTGAGAAGAATAAGTGGATTTGTGGGGAAGTGTCATTACAGATAGCACCAGAGAAAGATCCAGATAACTTGGGAGTAATCAAATGGACTGGAGTTTATGTAAAACGGGCATTTAGTAGATTGGACAATATTCGGTTCACTAATCCAAATTCCAATAATACAAGTGATGTGGGAAATAAGCTTGTGTTGCTTGGTGAGGCACCTTGTATGCAACAACAACAACCTTTGAATTATGTGTATAGTAATTCAGATCCACAAGAACCAGCACATGACCAAGGTAAAACATCTTTTTCCTTCCTGATCTCTACCTTTTTCTCAATTTCGTTCTGCTTCTATCAATACTTTATTTTGGTCCAGATGGAGCATTTTTGGGTCATCAAGGTATGGCTCCAAGTTTTGTTGAGACCCAAAGAGAAATGGGAACACTGGTATCAGAAGATTCAAGGGAATTCACTAATCAGAGTAGCGATTTCACTATTGAGTCCACAACATCCAAGTTGCATAAAGATGATGAAGTGGAAGCAGGTTTGGAAACTAAGAAGAGCAAGTTCAGCAAAGCTATGGACTTGGACAATGAGATACACCAAAAGCTAAGCATGATTAAGAAAAGAAAGAGGATTTAGGAGAGCAACTCAGTGCTATTAAAGCTAACATCTCTGTCATTGAAGCTAGCATATCTTCCATTCGAGAAAGCTAACATGTCTACTCCTCAATCAGAAAGGAATATGGATCGTAAGACAAAAAACAATATCAGTGAGCAAGAAAACACAGACATTAATCAATGCTGAATTGTCAAAAACCTGAGAAATTGTTAGAAGATTGCTGCAGACTTATAGGTAAAGCAAATAAAGTAGAATTTCTATGCACCTAGTCTACGATGCATGAAATTAAAATTATTTCCAATTATAATTTTTGTTGCATTAGGTGTCATTTTTTGTCTTACTATAACGTCAATTAATGATATATGGAAATTCAAATTTTAGTTGCAGCAACCAATTGTGGCAACAAAGTAATCGAGAATTTGGAGACATTGAAGCATTGTGTGTTTATTGTTTTCAATAATAATTTTTTTGTTTTCTAATATTTGTTTTTCTATTTCTTGAATCATTTTATTCAAGTACTTGAGAATTAAGAAATAAAGTTTTAGTAATCAGAGATATCTATGTTTTCTAAAAGTTTATTTCTTAAGCACTTGAATACGCCTAAAAAGATAGAAAAAGAGCTAGAATGAGAAAATCTATCCTAATTGTTTCTGGATATTAAAACATTTTCTTTGAAAACAATTTTCAAAAGTTAATAGACTTTAGATGAGAATTTGATTAATGAGTAGTGTATAATTGTTTTCGAAAACGGTTTCTAAATCATATATCTTTTTGGACTAGTTCAACATTGATCTAGCCATCTTACCAAATTAGCATGATTCTCACTTATAATTCATATTTCACACGAGATTCCTACCCATAAGCTTTCAATACCCAGTATACACTCATTTAGTACACTGGATCACTCAGCTCTCTTTTCTCAATTTTCAGTCATTATTGTTCCTGGCATTCCT